GTTGCTCAAACTGATTTCTTATTGTATTTTTCCGAGTTTTTAGCATCGGCCCGCCGAGTCTGGAAAGCTCAAATTTCAGAAAAGTACTACTTGTATTTTTTGGCCTCAAAAATTTTCTTTTCAGTTGCCCATAGTTTTGAAAACAGATTTTGAAAGAAGAGATAACGTTCTTTAACGTGGTATAAGACTCGTTACTGAAATCGAGGTACCAGTCGACGATTTTGGGCTTTGAAATTTGCCATTTTTTCCTTGAACGAAAACGTTCAAAATATTGAAAATAATGAAAAATCTCCAAAATATTACACTTTCGTTCAAACTGAGTAAATCACCACTTAAAATGTGTGCAATTATGTACTCTTTCGAATAAGTTATTTGTTGTCCGCATTACAATGGATTTGAATTTTAAAACGATTTTTTTGTGACAGATGGTCTCGGGCCTGGAAAACCCAGTCCGAGAGCCGCGAAACCAATAACCCCCCCGTACGTGGAAAATAATCATCGGTTCGAAGTAAAAATTACATTTATGTTAATAGCTTACCTAGTGCTACTTTGTGAATTTTTTTGAGAATTCTCGATTTTTCACTTTTGTAGACCTCTGGTCGATATTTACTGACATCTGCTCTTAAGTATCTAACTCACCCGGCCCGTGGATAGCGCCTTCCGTGCGCTCTGATTGGCCAGTCAAAGTTGGGATTTTATTGGGTAGTCACCTATTAACATTTTTGTAGACATTTTGCGTGGGGTTTTTCGTATTTTTTTTTCTTGTCATACACCAAGTAACTAATGCGCCCTGTCTTGTATATTTTGAGATAATTATTTACTTCAGTGTCTGTGTAGAGTGTCTATAAGGTACCTTGACGCCTGGTTGCTCGTCAAAATTTCCTTTCCTAATATCTAAGGAATTATTAAAACTGATTTTGGTCTAACAGGTCGAACAGTACTATCAGAGAGCTTTGGAAATTTACACCACTAAGCTGGGACCAGACGATCCTAACGTGGCAAAGACGAAAAATAACTTGGTATGAACTGTTAAAAAGTTACGAAGCAATTTCATTTGCCTTTTGAATTCCACGTTGAATGTACCCTCTCTATTCCAACAGGCTTCTGCTTACTTAAAGCAAGGAAAATACAAGGCTGCTGAAACACTTTACAAACAGGTACTTAGTGATAACGATAACGGTTAAAATTATGTTTGTTTGTTTTTTTCTTGTGTTAATTGATCGTTTGTCTAATTTTCTTTCTCAGGTTCTCACTCGGGCTCATGAGCGCGAGTTTGGGCCTGGTACCGAATCATCCCTGGAGGACGACGGAAAGCGCGGGAAAGACAACGCGCCTTATGGCGAGTATGGTGGCTGGCACAAGGCGGCAAAAGTTGACAGTCCTACTGTCACCACTACTCTTAGGAATCTTGGCGCCTTATACCGCAGGCAGGGCAAGTTTGAAGCAGCAGAGACACTAGAGGAGTGTGCACTGAGGTCCCGACAGAACGTATGTAACGTGAGTCTTACAAAGGTTTTTAATACAATAAACTTCTTAGCAGTCCTTCAGGATTCTCGTGTGGGCGCCGGAGCAAGTGACGCGTGAGCGAGGGAGAAAATGCGTTTGGTCTAATACACCCGCTAACAAGAACCTAGTTATTTAAGAACCTTCTGGCAGAAGTTTGCCACTCTAATACCCAAAAATATAGGAGCCTATTTAGCCAAGCAAAATCAAGCGGGTTCTTATGTGGGTTACAGGTAAATTATGATGAACAATTTAACCAAGGAGTTGGACTTCGAGTTTGCCAATTGATATTACAAGAAAATACTGTACTAAACTGTATTTACAAATAGAAATATTACTGTAATTCCTGCAACGAAGAAAGGTTAAAAAAGGTAGAGATTGTAATCGTCTTTATGGACTTTGCATAAAGGACGAATAAATAGTGCATATTTAAGAACCAAACGTAAGCAGTCAACAACTATATCTTCTTGATAGAATTTAAGAACCTAATTAAGAACCTACCTAGCCTAAATTGCCAATAACTACCCCAAAATGAAAAAAACTTTTTTGACAGACCTCAAAAAATGTAAGTTCTTATTATTCTCATTTGGGTGTTTACTTTACCTCGCTCGCTTGTAACGTGCTTGCCGGCTCGACAATCCCGAGGGGCTGCTACGCAGTCTAGTTTTACAGTAACTATTTTATGACAGTACAGGCTGAGGGCATTGAGCGTCTCACATTATGAGCGGTACCTGGTCTCTCTTGGCTCGCTGCTTTACGGCCGCGGCGTTAAACGCGTTCTTTGATCCCACTCACTTTAAAGAAGTGTAATAATCTGCTCACAGCCTGTGAGCGCCAAGAGATACAGAACGCCCAATTTTGGGCCAATTGTTGTGTTTTTTAGAATAAAAGCATGGTAAACAGTATCAGAGATTCCCCGAGAGAGACTACAAGAACTTCATTGTTTCACGGGACCCTTTAAGAACAACCTTGCACCGCCCAGGAAAATGAACAATTCCTCAGTACAGGAATATACCTCTCAGTAGGTTTTGTCTGAATACTACTTACTCTCTAGATCTAAGTTGTCGTTCAGCACACTTTCTGCACATTTAAGGTAATCCTAACTTTGAAAGGGATAAAATTTGTGTGAATTTTCCTATCATAGGCCCTCGACGTTGTTCGTCAGACTAAAGTGGCACAGCTCCTAGCTGAAGACGTCGGCGGCAGTTCATCTTTCGCTGGAAGCAGCGTGGCATCTTCCTCTCCATCTCTGAACGGCAGCAGTAGCAAAACGTCCATCGAAACCGACAAGGACGATCCCAATGACGACAAGAAAAACGGGAAGCGTGAGAAAACATTCTCGCGTCTCAAGAGAACGCTCAGCAGCCGTGGCCAGAAGCTGATGGAGAAGATGGGCGGCAGCGGTACAAGACTCCAGCGTTCCTCATCACGTGACAACCTGGCCCATCATGCCAAGCTCTCCCCTTCGGAGAGGATTTCTCGTAGCACCCCTATGCTCGCGCAGCCGCAACCCGATCCTGACAGGGGTAGATCGGGGAGTGTTAGTACCCGAGGAGCGCATATTGGGTCTTGATGGATAGTTAGCTAAAGAGAGATTGGATCAATTTAGTTTCTGGGAAACTTCCCACCTACCCCTCTCCTAAGCTAACATCAACAGTTACTTCTTACTTATGGCAAAACAGTGGCGTAGGGGAGGGGAAGGTGGGCAGTTTCCCAGAACCCTAAACTGATCTCAGACATTGTGTTTTTATTTTCTTCAGTGGGCCATTTAAGTCTCAATAACTTTGTCTCGAGGTATACCTTCGACATTGATCATTCAAAACATCCTATTTTCATATATTTTTATTTGGAGGATTACTGTACTGGACTGGAGTTTCGGTGCGAAGGTTTGGTAGTGGGGTGCGAGAAAACCTTTTTTTTTTGCTTGACGGCTCACTATCCCTCCCCGCCGGACAAACCTCGGTTGCTGTTTGTTTCCTGCCTTGTGTTTACCTAGTTTAGGTGTTTTTATATGACCCCATGTTGATAGCTATTCACAACTTTAGGTTTTGATATTGGAATCATTGCAGGAGAGGTCTGTTGCATTGGCGGGCAAGGGAACCCGGCAGGTCTAGTTGGATTTTAACCCTATCGTAGTTCAGCTTTATTTGATTAACGTCTGAACTTTCCCTGTAGTACATCTAGCGTGCAAAAAAAAACGGTTTCGCGCGAAACATCCCCATAGTACATCTAAATCAGAACCAAGTCAGGTTTGAAAAACCTAATATTGCTCTAGTTTCTCTTTTCTATTTTTGATAATTTTCAATATTTATTATGAGTCTGTTGGTCGTACGGTATTTCGACCAACGAATTCTTTTTGTTTTGTTGTTTTTCTTTTTCCTCAAGGTAATCAGCATTAATCGAATAATATTTAATTATGTAATCGTAGTTTAGAAAAGCTGTAAATAAGTACGTTAAGTTTGAAAAAGATATGAAATAAATTATCATCACAATGGAATTAGTTTTGTTTCTTTGTGTATCATTTCTTAAGAGTGATTTTTTTGCTTATTATTATTATTATTATTATTATTATTATNTCACAATGGAATTAGTTTTGTTTCTTTGTGTATCATTTCTTAAGAGTGATTTTTTTGCTTATTATTATTATTATTATTATTATTATTATTATTATTATTATTATTATTATTATTATTATTATTATTATCAATGTTGTTATTACTGTTTTGTCTTTTGAAGTTTTTCTTTTTCCTTATGGGTGTCATAAAGGTGTCCTGGCGTTCCGAAAGCCTCTGGCACCGAACTAGCACCTAGAATATTATTAATTGTTGTGAGAAAGTCGTTTCTCCAAATATAGCTAAGCTGGGAAACAATTCAGTGTTTCATGGTTAGCGTTAACCAGCGTTTAATACCTTGACAACGTATTGGTTTTGATACTGCTTAACCAATGGTTAAAGCTAACCGTGCTTTGAGCAACTCAGCCCAGACCGATTTAGTGAGCATTTTTCTTGCCTATGAAGTCCTCCAGAGAGGGAATAATGTGTTAGAACTGACTTAATAGCATTTTCTTGCATCAATAAAGTAAAAACCCAAATTGTGATGTTTGCTAGTTCAGCCAGACCCTTTAAAACAGCTCGTTTGGTGGGGGGATGTATATTTTTCTCAAACGAAAGCTTTCGTCTAGGATTTTAAGCTCAGACGGCTTTACAATGGCGTTGTGAGATGAGGGCACTTTTTAAGCCGCACACTGCTGCTTTTTGAAATACCGTCAATGTGTCTTCAGCTAGAGTTCTTTTTTCCCCAGTGATCTCAATCCAGCTGATAATTATTATTCGCTGGATGGAGATTTATCCGGTGGACAGCGTTATCCGAGAAAAAAAACCGAAACGTGATCCGTGTAACTGACGAGCACTGACGTTCTCTTCTCTGTTACTCAGCTGCTATCTAGTTCATTATCTTCTTTGCATCTACATAGGCCTTACAGTGTCTGCCCGGCCTTTCAGAGTGCGCGTCGCGACTAACGTGGGTGACCCTCGAGTGTGTTACCCAGATGGCTAAGCGCGCCTAGATAATTGCACAAGAAAACAACATGGCGGACGGTGAAGAAGAAAGCACGTGTACTTTCTCTGGTTTGGGATTGAATAAATGGCTCGTAAATCAGTGTGATGCTGTAGGAATAAAGAGCCCGACAGAAATTCAACAGAAGTGCATACCACCGATCTTAGAGGGACGAGACTGCATTGGATGTGCAAAAACCGGTAGTGGAAAGACCGCAGCTTTTGCTCTTCCTATTCTTCAGAAATTATGTGAAGATCCTTATGGCATTTTTGCTGTGATTCTTACTCCTACCAGGTAAGGGCTCTTGATAAAATTAAATTATTAACAGTTTTGATTACTGGAATACAGAAATGATAATAGAAAACCTTTATAAATATTATTTATGCATAGAGTTTAATTGCATGTATCATTCTTTCCTATTTTCTTATTTGTTTAACTTTTTTCCAACTCGCCACGATCCTTAGCTAAATATACAGTTAGTTCCCTCTTAAGCGACCAGTCTTGATGCCGGAAATAGTGGCTGCTTTATGGAGATGGTGGCTCAAGAAAAAAAACAAGTCAATAAGCCAAAAAGGGCAGCCAAAAACTGTATGGATCAACATATAGTAGATGTTTATCGCCATAATATTGTTGTCCATCGTAGTATACAGGGTGAGTGTCAAACTTGATCCCAGTAAATGGCTTTTTTGTCTACTGTATCCCAGATCTAAAGTAAAGACGTTCAACAACAAACTCTACTGTCTTTAATAAAATTTATTAACTCATTCGCCTCTGAACTGCCCATAACCAACCGGGAAGATCCATGTCCCTTTTACCGCTTGTCCCCTAACTTGTGCAGGGTAAAGAGATCTTTCCATCCATTCCAGAAGGAGCACAATTCAGTTGAGGAGACTGGAGAAAAAAGGCAAAAAACCATGTAACATTGACTTGCAAATTTCAACTATAATCTTGTTTCACTACCCACCTACGTTTCCTTTTATCTAATCCTAAAATCATAAAAGCATTGCCAAAACCTTTTCCCACAAGAATGAAGCCTAATAAATAACCAACAAAAGAAAAAAAATGAGACAAGAAAAGTGAAAGAAGAGGGGAGGATAGAAAGCAAAAAGAAAAAGTCAAGACTGATGTGTCACTTTTAAACCCNACAGGGTGAGTGTCAAACTTGATCCCAGTAAATGGCTTTTTTGTCTACTGTATCCCAGATCTAAAGTAAAGACGTTCAACAACAAACTCTACTGTCTTTAATAAAATTTATTAACTCATTCGCCTCTGAACTGCCCATAACCAACCGGGAAGATCCATGTCCCTTTTACCGCTTGTCCCCTAACTTGTGCAGGGTAAAGAGATCTTTCCATCCATTCCAGAAGGAGCACAATTCAGTTGAGGAGACTGGAGAAAAAAGGCAAAAAACCATGTAACATTGACTTGCAAATTTCAACTATAATCTTGTTTCACTACCCACCTACGTTTCCTTTTATCTAATCCTAAAATCATAAAAGCATTGCCAAAACCTTTTCCCACAAGAATGAAGCCTAATAAATAACCAACAAAAGAAAAAAAATGAGACAAGAAAAGTGAAAGAAGAGGGGAGGATAGAAAGCAAAAAGAAAAAGTCAAGACTGATGTGTCACTTTTAAACCCCCAAATTTTTCTTTTCTACGCATGCCTGATCTTCGCAAGCTAATATTTTGTATCTGGATTAGAAGACTGCAAAGTGTATGACCTGTAAACAACTTTGTGGTACGTTTAAGCTCTTTATAGCCAGACAGTGACTAGAAAACTGCTTAACTAGCCTCAAAACACATTTTTTGGCAAAATTCTTAGGGTCAAATGGCTCAAGCAAAGTACCAGGTTTTTTGAGAAAATCCACTTTTCAGCATAAAACAACCAAGTCTGGCCATTTAATGCCAACTCCGATTTTCAAAAACTCGACAAAAGGCCATTTGTAGGTTTTTTTTATTAAATAAGGGCACTTACCCCTAGTATCGAATCCCATCAGAGCTCATAATTCTGTCCTTTACTCATGATGAGCATTATATCTTTCCCATTTTAGGGAACTTGCCTATCAAATCTGTGACCAATTTCGAGTACTTGGGAAACCCATCGGCTTAAAAGAAGCAGTCATCATTGGTGGCCTTGATATGATGAAGCAAGCATTGGCTCTTGCTGAGAAGCCTCATGTTGTCATAGCAACACCTGGGCGACTTGCTGACCACCTTAAGAGCACAGACACTGTTCACCTCAAGAGAATCAAGTTCTTGGTTCTTGATGAAGCCGATAGGCTTTTGGATCCTTCATTTGGCGATGATTTGCAAGTCATATTTGACAATGTTCCAAGTGAAAGACAGACTTTGTTGTTTAGTGCTACGTTAACAGACACATTACAGGAGTTGAGGGAGCTGTCTCCTAATGAACCTTTTTACTATGAGGTCAAGTCTGAGTAAGTTACAGGAGAATAATTCTGTCAGTTCTGTTAGCAAAATGCATGACTATAGTTAAGTAATTTGCAGGTAATAAGCTTCAATGGAAAACTTAGATTTTAATACCCTCACATCTTAACTGCCTGTTACAATACCACAGCGTTTTTCCATGTCCTTTTTACCGCTTGTGACAATATTGGTTTCAGTGGTTAAAAGCAACTTTGAAACCCAACTTGTACATCTTTCAATCCATATGAGGACAATTCAGTCAAACAGGTGAGAAAAAATGCTACAAATCATGTGACTGAGAATAATTATATTAGGCTGGTTTAGCAACAGAGCAGGAACATCGTAATGTAAACAACATGCAACCCTAAACCCTCAATTTGAGAATAGTAGCAGGGACAGGAGGATTCACAATTGCTTGGTTCGTCGCCATGTTTGAGAAACTGACAAAGAGCGTGTCGCACATAGTTTGCCTTATTTGGAAATTCCCAAGGGGTGGTTGAAGGACAGCATTTTTACCAGGCAACACAAAATGGTGCACAAAATGCTATTGTCTTTGCTTGTCAATCATAAACGTACAATTTAAAGTGTCTGGATTCCGATTTTACAATATAATAACTCACTAAGGGCACCCTGGAAAAGGTGTGCAAAAATTGAACGAAAACCAAAACTTGGAAGCAAAGAATTGTGAATCGAACCGAACGGTCATAATCACGATTAATCGAGAATTGATTAATCGTTACACTACTACCTCTGAACACGATTAATACCTACCACCTTCTAGTTACCATTCCAGATGCATATTTACCACTAAGTTACGGTAACATCAACACGCATCTTCTCCATACTGTTCTTCATACATTCCTTATGGTACTGCTTGAGAGAATTTGTTCTAACATCACAACATTTCATCTCTGCATGGTGATCATTTCATTACTTCTCATGACCTGTCTGTTTGATCAGACAGTGTTATTGTTGAAAGAAATTGAATGTGGGTCACTTTTGGGGCTTAAAGGGTTAGAAAAAACTTTTGTGACAAATATCCTACATACTGCTTGAACTACAATGTTAATAGGTGGCATACAGTATTTGCAGCGATATAAATGTGATAGAGATCATGCCACTTTCACCAGAAAACTTCAGTGCAAGTCTTGCCCCACTACCACCTGTACTTTTCGTGAAAAATCTTTCCTGCTGAAATAAAGCCTAGTTCAGGTGAATGACTACTGAAAGAAAAAAAATTCAAGGCAACTAAAGCAAAAAAGTGGGGGAAGACTCAAGAGAGAAAGTGAAAATGCAAATTTTTGCATGCTGCACATGCCTGAACTTTGAAAACTGTAGTTTAGTTTAGGAGCAAAAGCCCTCATAGTGCCTGACTTGGCAACAAAAATTTGGGTGGTTTTGCTTCTGTTTGGCCTGTTAGTCTCCAGAAATGAGCTTGACCAGCTTCAAATGGTAATATTTGGTAAAATTTCCCCTTTAGCATATCAAGAAATTGAGGACCACCCACAAACAAAGACTTCAGACCTGTAAAACTTGACAACTTTTCTTGTCAGTTGTTCAGCAATTTCATTGCTCCACTCTGAGACAATTTGCATGAGATATTTCCTAGTGTGCTACATGTACAACTTACGTTTTTGCATGGACAAGGAAAAATTGGTGTGTGAGAGAATTAGAACTACCAGTAGATTCTACTTTATGCCAGGCTTCTTGCTGTAGAGACTTTGCAAGAGACCAGCTGTCACACTCATAAATTCTTCATGAGACCGACAGCCATGCCTAAAGCATGGAATAGGCCATTTTACAGTTGTGGGCTAAGTGTCCTAGCCTTTGAGTGAACGTGAGGCTGAGGTTGACCTTGTTTTGATACAAACCGCCTTCCTTTTCTAATGTAAATTTTGCTTAAAAATACTAGTTAGCGTAAGAAAAACATGGTTAACATAATAAAGGAGGAAGGGTTGTATGAAAACAAGGTCAACTCCAGCCTTGTTTTCACCTGTAACTGTAAAATGGGTTATTGCAATATTAGAGCGGTTTTCACTTGACTGTCGTAAAACCAAAACCAAAGTAAATACACTAGCCAACCAAAGGGCGTAGTAAAACCAAAACCAAACCAATTCCTCAATTACTTTCAACAGTCAAGTGAAAACCGCTCTATTATATGATGGTAATCTCAATTCCTCATTTCTATTGATCATCCATAACAGTTTCCAACCAAAGGAAAAGGAAATTTGTTTGATTTACTTTTTTTCACTTTTTTTAGTATTGCAACTGTCGCAGAACTGGATCAGAAATACATTCTTACGGCTGCCAGTGTGCGAGACAGTTATCTTGTCTACATCCTGAGAGAGCATGCAGAAAATAAGTCAGTTATCATCTTTACACACACGTGTAAGAATTGTCAGACTCTAGCTAACATGTTATGGAAGTGTGACTTACCCTGTGTTGCTCTCCACTCGCTGAAATCACAAGGGGAGAGGTTAGCTGGATTAGCTACGTTTAAATCAGGACTGGTGAAAATTCTTGTTGCAACTGATGTAGCAAGCAGAGGCTTAGATATACCTCAAGTTGAACTGGTGATTAACAGCAATGTGCCAGCGTCACCGAAGGATTATATTCATCGAGTGGGTCGCACTGCGAGAGCAGGGCGTGGTGGAATGGCTATAACACTGATGACCCAGTATGATGTAGATAGAGTTAAACAGATTGAAGCTACCATTAATACAAAGCTTGTTGAGTTTGAAACCAATGAAAATGAAGTGCTGCCATTACTCAGAGCAGTGATGGTGGCAAGGAGAGAAGCGCAGTTGAAGGTTCAAAGCAGTGCTGTTTTGGAGAAGAGGATGATAAATAAGAGGAAGAAAATGCTTTTAGAAGGAAAGGATCCTGATGGGAAGCCTGTGAAAAGAAAACGAAGACAAAAGAAATTGACTGAGAAAGTAAAAAACAAGTAAATTAGGCTCTGATTCTCCAAACCGTGTTAAGATATTCCTGGTATATTATTATGCAAAAATAAATCTTGTAATTTTGATTTATGCAGCTGCTTGATGTTTCTGCCTGTGGATTACTCAAAATAATATCACTTTGGCTTGTATTCAAGGACTTTTCTCATTAGGGGAGACGTTATTTGAGTATTTTTTTACAACACCTCTTTGAAAAGGTCCAAAAGATGCTGTCATGATTAGGGGTTGGGGTATGCTTTTTGGCATTTTTCCCCTTCATAAAATGTAGCCAAAAAAACTATCATTGAAAGTGGGTAAATGGAGAGCTTAAAAGCAACAATGACAGCAATGGCAATGAGAACTGCAGAAAAGCAATAGCTCTGAGGGCTTGGTTCCTAAAAGGCCAATTAGCACTAATCTAAGATTACAATTGTGTTTAATTTTTGTATTTACCTTCCTACGCATTGCTCAAAGTAACATTATGTGTTATCATTACTGTATCTCAGAGTAAAGGCTATTATTATGAAAGCTTGAGTGACATGTTCTTAGATTAGAAAACCTTGCTTGAAATAATGGCTCACGAATATCACTTTTTTCATTTCTTTGCCTTCATTGCATTGCCTGACTACGACATGAAATTGGCTAATTTCGGGTTTTATTGAGAACGTAAACCCGGGGGCACTCAGCAAAGATTTATATGGGGAGGCCCTGTTTCAAGGTCCAAACCCTTACCCTACTTTTAAATATCATTTTTGACAGAAAGTGTTCCATTCGTATACCTTCTATCAGACTTGGTACCCCTTTCAGATGCACACCTAGAGATTACAATTAGAAATCAATCACTTAGCTTTAATTGATCGAAGGTCCGCTTGAGTTCATTCTTTGGATTGCATATTTGAAATTTACAAGCTAAGTAAGCTTATAGTTTGATTCTTGAAGACTTTCTCAAGGACTGAAGCCATAAATAAAGCTGTATTATTGAACAGAATGCTAGGTACATACAACACAGCTTTGGCGAAATTATGTAAGTTTTTTTGTACTGGACTACTAAGTACTTCAACTATAATTTGAGGTAAGAAAACCCTGAGTAAATTCCTCATAAAAATAATACATTACTTTTAGAGTTGTCGATATGGGCTACTGCAATAGAGCAAAGAGCAAAGTAAATCACATGCATTTCCAATGATACAGATATGAGATTCCCTCACTTTCTCAGTATCACCGTATATTTGAATAATGACCACACTTCCATTTCAGCATATTTTAAGTTCCTTTTTTTTCTTTTACATCGAGGTCCCAGCCATGCATGACCCCATTCCCTCCATCATTAAAAGACTCAGTGTAGTGGTTTTATTTATTTAACATAAATATCCTCACAGAATGATATCCAGTAGTTGGAGGAATAGACAGTGGAAACAAAGTCTTTGACTGTGGTAAAATTACAAGATATTACTTTAATTGAATGAAGATTTTGAGAGAACTAACCAGCATTAAGTATCTTCGACTGACAAGAAGATCAATATCGCTAATTGTCTTTAATAACTGGAGAACAATAGAAATTACTGTCATTTCACCCATGTCTGGAAACATTATGAACACTTATACTGCATGCAAGACTTCCATTGTTCTGATCCCTTACCCAGTGTTCAAGATAGGAAATGTCTCTGGCCAATAGAACAAAACAGCTAATACAGTAAAAATATGGATTGTTGATTGAGTCCCGTTGACACGTCGAGCTCAATGAACCTGTTTCGGGCTCGGTTGCCCACATAACTAATATGATCCAAAATCTGCAACTAAATAATCTGTTTTTTAAGAGCCTGTTAGGCTAAAATTTGCCAGTTGGGGCGCCTCTATTCAAGAACCTGTCTAGCCTAATATTTGAAAACAGGTTCTTATTTTCAAAACTCTGTTTTAAAAAATGCTGTACACTTGGGCAAATAAGATATGTCAACATTTGGGATCCTCTTTAGAAACAGGTGTTATCGACACCTATACCTATCATACTGCAATATGTAATGCTATGCATATTTTAAATAAGGAAAATACCCGGTAAGAACCTAAATTTGTGCTCATTACCATTAAATTTTATGTAAGAACTTGTTTAGAGGGGCTAACTCATCAAAAGGCAGGTTCTTCGTCGCTGTTGTTTACTGTATTCTTGTTTGATACTTCTAAGAACCGCACTTGTTGACCAATTTTTACAATACCCCCTTAATATAATCAGTTCAGCTAGAGCACAGAAATACACTAAGTGGAGGGGTTGACTGACTGGAAAAGCGTAGTAGAGAGAGGCTATGGCTAAAGCCCTCACAACCCCCTGGCTTCAGAGTTTATCATAATATCTTCCTATTCATCTATACAAAGCAATAATGGAATCTCAGATTAGCCAGGACCTTGGTACACCTACTCGTTGCCCTCACTACTCAATACAAGTTAAGGAAAAAAACACTGCCTGTTACTGT